CCCCTGACCCAGAAATGGACCTGTGGGGTATACCTGAAGGCGACGCTGAGAAGGCTCCCCCAGACCCGAAAGCGACCTGTGCGGGATACCCTGAAGGCGACGCTGAGATAGGCTCCCCCAGACCCGAATGGACCTGTGGATACCTGAAGGGCGACGCTAGAAGCTCCCCCGCGCACCGAAATCGACCTGTGGGAGATACTGGAAGGGCGCGCTGCAGAAGGCTCCCCAGACCCGAAATGGAACCTCGTGGGGATACACTGAAGGGCGACGCTGAGAAGGCTTCCCCCGGACCCGAAATGGACCTGCGGGTTACCTGAAGGGCGACGCTGAGAGGCTCCCCAGACCGAAATGGACCTGTGGATACCTGAAGGGCGACGCTGAAAAGGCTCCCCCAGACCCGAAATGGACCTGTGGGGATACCTGAAGCGACGCTGAGAAGCGCTCCCCCGGACGAAATGACCTGTGGGATACCTGAAGGGCGGACCTGAGAAGGCTCCCCAGACCGAAATGGACCTGTGGGGGATACCTGAAATGAGAAGGCCCTGGACTGTGGGATACCTGAAGGGCGACGCTGAGAGTCCCCCAGAACCGAAAATGACTGTGGGATACCTGAAGGGCGCGCTGAGAAGGCTCCCAGACCCGAAATGGACCTGTGGAGATACCTGAAGCGGCACGAAGAGGCTCCCAGACCTGACCTGTGGGATACCTGAAGGCGACGCTGAGAAGCTCCCGGACCCGAAATGACTGATGGGATAACCTGAAGGCGACGCTGAGAAGGCTCCCCAGGAAATGGAACTGTGGGTGTTACCTGAGAGGCGAGCGCTGAGAAGGCTCCCCAGAACCCGAATGACCTGTGGGAGATACCTGAAGGCGACGCTGAGAGGCTCCCCCGACCCAAATGACCCTAGTGAGGGTTACCTGAAGGGCGACGCTGAGAAGGCTCCCAGACCCGAAATGCACCTTGTGGATACCTGCAAGGCGACCGCTGAGAAGGCTCCCCCAGACCCGAAATGGACCTGTGGGATACCTAAGGCGGCATGTCAGCGAACGCTCTACGCTAACGAAAACTTACGAAAAGAAGATACGGCGGACTAAGGACTGTCTGTAGGAGTGTGATGACGAGCTTCCTCCTGAAGATGAAAAATGTATGTAGCTGATTGGAGAGCACCAATTCATGCCCATTCTCTTACCGTGGTTTGTATAAGTTGAATAAATATTATATATGTTCTTGAATTTTATCATCTTTTTGGAACAATGCTTATTCTACGTTTTCAGCTAACAGAGAATGAAAGAAATGGACATAAACGCAGAGAAATATTGGAATATACACTGTACATGCATGCTAATAATGAGGCACGCAGATAACTACACACCCACACGTACGAGTATGTATTTGCTGTTGCTGTTTGTGTCAGTCTGTCTGTCGTCTGTCTGTCTGTCGTCTGTCTGTCTCTCTCTCTCTCTCTCTCTCTCTCTCTCCTCTCTCTCTCTCTCTCTCTCTCTCTCTCTCTCTCCTCTCTCTCTCTCGCTCTCTCTCTCTCTCTCTCTCTCTCTCTCTCTCTCTCTGTCTGTCTCTCTTGTCCCTCCTCCCAGTTTAAGATGCCCAGATAGCGCAATGTTTAATTATCGCACCAATAGCCAATATACTTTAAGAAAATGCTTACGCTTCTCCAAACTCCCATTTTGTAACTCGACTCAGCCAAAGACAGTCATAGATTACCGATTCCAAAGATCTGGAACTCTTTCCGAAAATCTGAGGAATAAACCTACCTTTGAAGTGTTCAAAAAGGCTCTCAAATACTTTGTGGCCAAATATTAACAATAAACAATGTTGAGTATAATGTATCAATAATATTCATAACCAAACATTTTCCGATACTTAATCCTTAAACTACATTATCTACCATTATCATCTCGTCTTTGTATTTGATTCCATGCTTTGTTTTGTAAATGCTCTGTATAGTTTATTTTACTAACTTGTCTCTGCCGTTGTAAGGTATGACTAATGTATTTGTCTAAATTGTCTCTTGTATATATTATTCTGGGTACCCATCAATATAATTGATGAACATGACCCAAAGTCTCTGTACAGACTTTGTTAATCAACAGCCTTTTCAAGAGAGGTTGCGGCTCTCAAAAGCTGACCACGTTTTATATAAAACACTAAATGTACCCACATGATCTGTATTACTTTTATGCTTAAATAAACTCTCTCTCTCTCTCTCTCTCTCTCTCTCTCTCTCTCTCTCTCTCTCTCTCTTTTTCTCTCTCTCTCTCGTCTCTCTCTCTCTCTCCCTCTTCCCCCCCCTCTCTCTCTCTCTCCCTCTCCCTCTCCCCCCCCCCTCTCGCTCTCTCCCTCTCTCTCTCTCTCTCTCTCTCCTTCCTCTCTTCTTCCTCCCTCTCTCTTCTCTCTCTCTATTCTCTCTCTCTCTCTCTCTTCTCTCTCTTTTTCCTCTACTTCCTTCACCCCTC